GTACGTGGTCTGAATTTAAGAGCTAAAGAAGTAAGTAGATTTGGAGATCATATTACGACTTACGAGTTACTTTCTTTTGATCATAAAATTAAAACATAACCCGGTTCTAAGTCGTACAAGAGGATGAATGGGTCGCGGACTCGTGTGGACAGATATTGAACACATGCGTTTGGGTCAGAAAAGGTACCTAGTTCGATCGTGAAGTTTTGATGTCGAACAAATCAACAAAGTATATTTTGGAAGTACATAACCAATAATATCAGCAAACATTGTTGATAATTGATAAAATTCAAAACTAGCTATGTAATTTGTAACTAATGCGATTTTTTTTTATCTATTGCATTGGAAAATCACAAAATCAGTGAGGTACAATCCGTCACCATATATAGCTACTAGTACATCTTCATTAAAGTTTTATTTATCGACATATTTAGTTTTTTTCTTATATACTGTTACTACCTTTGCGAAACCATAAGAAGTGGACCTCGTCAATGCTCCAAGGACCTTGAGAGGGAGACCAATCAAGCCGTCCCATAAGTTCAAGAAATGCGGTGGTCGGTGGAAAATGTTGAGTGTCGTGGCAACCATGGACACGGCCGTGACAACAACCATTAAGTCTTCATAGCTTTTGTATGACTTTTTAATGCTAAATTTACCATAACTTTGTAAAACCATATGACCCAAAGAGTCATAGCTTGTATTAGTTACTATGTTTTCAAATTAAAAAGCCTTTATAGATATAAAGAAAAAAAAAAACCTAGCGGCATGAAGAGCAGTGCCGTGCCTATAGCGTTTTAAATTAACAAAAAAAAACTCAATTTATAAAATATGTAATTTTGGTCATTATTTTAATATTGTATTATAAAATTCCACTGGAAAACGAGAAATTACTAAATACTTTTAAACAAGACATTAAGTAAAATACAACCATACATAATCAATTTAACATAAAGGCTATATAAATAATGTGAGAAGTATTTGGAACCGTAAAAAATAGTTGCAAACAGAATATGATCTCTTGAATGAGAAATAGACAAAAGGCCAACAAACTTATACACGAAAACATTTGGGATAGAGTGAGAAACCCATTGCCCTCTGATAAAAAAAATAAATTTTTTTATGAAATTGTAGATCGATCTTTGGAAAAATGACTGTTAGTGAGATATTTTTGTATCATTATTCATCTTATCCAGCTGGTTCAATGTCTTAATCATCATTTGGGGACTAGGACATTTGTCCTTTTCATCCATTTGTACATATGAGTTAGACGAAGTAAATACCACGTTCCAATTTATTTTTCTCGTAGTTAGATGAATGATAAAGTCAGAATAAACTAATTTCAGAGCAATGTTACACACCTTTGTAACTTAACTATTTTCTCTCAAAGCTATTACCCCTCGGCAAATTTACTTTAGAGAAAAACCAGCGCAAGAAGGAGATACTCCAAATTACGAATTACCATAACATCCATATTTCAAATCAAAAGTTGTAATTTAGCTAGAACTAATGTTTACAAATTGAGTGAAAGAGAAGTCGGAAAGAAACTTCTTTACTTGGCGTCGAGTTTAAATTGACAACTTCAAAGTCTATTTTTTCAAATATGAAATATGCGGTAACCGGTGAGGGGTAGTTACCAAAGACATTTTCCTCTCTAATTTTTCGTTGGACGAAATTTGAAGCATTCATAAACTTCAATAAACAAAGATTCAAGTTGTCGTACTGAGTGCTATATAATGTGTTTCCTTTGTATTACAATTTCATCAAAAACAAATCAGTTGAAAAGTACAAACCAAACTAATTACAAAAACTGAGAATAGAGACAAGAGCACACAAGTTCAATCAATATGGCCAATCCTAATGGTTGGCCGTCTTTACTTATGTTGGTCATAGCCTTGTATTCCGTTTCTGCTCATACAAGTGCCCAATACACATACTCTCCACCATCACCACCATCATATGTTTACAAACCTCCTACATATATCTATAGCTCTCCACCACCTCCTCCTTACGTTTATAGTTCTCCACCACCTCCTCCATATATTTACAAGTCGCCACCACCTCCTCCATACGTTTATAGTTCTCCTCCACCTCCACCATATATTTACAAGTCTCCACCACCACCTCCTTACGTCTATAGCTCTCCACCACCACCTCCATATATTTACAAGTCGCCACCGCCTCCTCCTTATGTTTACAGCTCTCCACCGCCTCCTCCATATGTTTACAAGTCTCCCCCTCCTCCTCCATACGTCTATAACTCTCCACCGCCTCCTCCATATGTTTACAAGTCTCCGCCACCACCACCCTACGTCTACAGTTCTCCACCACCACCTCCATATGTTTACAAGTCGCCACCACCTCCTCCTTACGTTTATAGTTCTCCTCCACCTCCACCATATGTTTACAAGTCTCCACCACCACCTCCTTACGTCTATAGCTCTCCACCACCACCTCCATATGTTTACAAGTCGCCACCACCTCCTCCTTATGTTTACAGCTCTCCACCGCCTCCTCCATATGTTTACAAGTCTCCCCCTCCTCCTCCATACGTCTACAGCTCTCCACCGCCTCCTCCATATGTTTACAAGTCTCCCCCTCCTCCTCCATACGTCTACAGCTCTCCACCGCCTCCTCCATATGTTTACAAGTCTCCGCCACCACCACCCTACGTCTACAGTTCTCCACCACCACCTCCATATGTTTACAAGTCGCCACCACCTCCTCCTTACGTTTATAGTTCTCCTCCACCTCCACCATATGTTTACAAGTCTCCACCACCACCTCCTTACGTCTATAGCTCTCCACCACCACCTCCATATGTTTACAAGTCGCCACCACCTCCTCCTTATGTTTACAGCTCTCCACCGCCTCCTCCATATGTTTACAAGTCTCCCCCTCCTCCTCCATACGTCTACAGCTCTCCACCGCCTCCTCCATATGTTTACAAGTCTCCCCCTCCTCCTCCATACGTTTACAACTCCCCACCGCCTCCTCCATATGTTTACAAGTCGCCACCACCTCCTCCTTACGTTTATAGTTCTCCTCCACCTTCACCATATGTGTACAAGTCGCCACCACCTCCTCCTTATGTTTACAGTTCTCCACCGCCTCCTCCATATGTTTACAAGTCTCCCCCTCCTCCTCCATACGTGTACAGCTCTCCACCGCCTCCTCCATATGTTTACAAGTGGCCACCACCTCCTCCTTACGTCTACAGCTCTCCACCGCCTCCTCCGTATGTTTACAAGTCCCCACCACCTCCTCCTTACGTCTACAGCTCTCCGCCACCACCTCCCTATGTCTACAAGTCGCCATCACCTCCTCCATACGTTTACAAGTCTCCACCGCCACCTCCAAGCTATAGCTATAGCTATAGCTCACCCCCTCCTCCAATATACTAACCAAATCTATACATGATGAACTGAATTTTAAAAGAATGATATATTCGTTTAGCGATTGGCCATCGTATTCATGGAATAAAAACTTTTCTTTCTATATTTTGATATATAAGAAATACAATGTAACATTTGTTTTGGACCCAGGTTCATTTTTGTTGTCTTCTAAAAAAATATCAATGTTCTTGTCGTCCATCTATAACTATTACACAATCTGAATTAATCTCATTGAATCAGTATAAATCTATCCATTAATCTAGCGCCTGATGAAGGAAATTGAAAGCTTATATATCTCAGTTTCTATACAAAAAAAGGTTCTCCGCAACAGTTATATATTGAATAAATGGTGAAATTGGAAGAAAATAATGTTTCATACTTTTTGAGAGCAATGTATCACTTCTTTGTAATCTCTCTTATTACCACTAGGCAGATTTATTTGAGAAAAGACCAGCTCAAGAAGGAGACACTCCAAATTACGAGTTACTGTAAATGCAAGTTGTAATTTAGAACTACTGCTCGCAAAGTGATAGAGAGAAGTGGGAAAGAAACTTCATATTCCTAATCTGACGTCGAATTTAAATTGACATTATGTACAACTTCAAACTCGTCGACCTATTCAAATATGTAATATGGTAATTAGGGATAGTCACCGAAGACGCATTCTTCTCTACTTATTCTTTATTAGAAAAAATCTAAAGCTAATTTGACTTAAGAAACAATAGAACACTATTTCTCTAAGAAACATTCATAAACTTCAATAAACAAATATTCTAGTCGTCTTGTACGAATACATATAATCTGCTTCCTATCTATTACGACCATACAAAAAAAAATCGTTAAAAAGAAGGTAGAAATGAGACTAATAAGAGCTGAGCAAACAAGTTTAGTCGACTGTCGACATGACCAATCTTCAAATTGGCCATCTTTAGTTCTTTACTTATGTTTGTTTTGGTCTTTTTATACATCACGGATTAATTCACCACAAGAACATTATTATAGGAGACAAGATATTATTTCTCAACTATTATAATTCTAAAAAAAAACATTTGTAATTGGACTCGGCCCAAAATAACATTACCCGGCCCTCGATTTCTACTGAAAACTACCGTCAACAATAAAACGACATACAGTTGCTTATTAAAGTGATAAAACGACAGAAACATTTAATAATCAGAAAAAAACCCGACCCGGTTCTTAACCTAATCCAAGTTGTTGTCTTCTTATAAAATGCTTCCATGAATCACTAATCCAATGCAGCCGTCAACATTATCGATTTCGTTATAGGATCGTTTTCAATTCTAGTAAAATTTGTTGATTTATGGGTGTATGCTCAATTTCTCTTCTGTGCACAAAGTTTGGATTTTTATCTTGATTTCTTGCTATAGTAATTAAAGCACTGTATAGCCCCTTGCATCTTTGAGATTTATAGATGCAAGGAACAAATCGAGAAAAAGGTACTCAATTGGTGCTATATTTTGGCTTTTTACGCTTCTTTTGTTGGGTTGTTCAATAGTTGAGCTTCTCAGAAATGTGTATTGGCCAATAGCTGAAATCTGGGTATTGAGTGGTGTTAGTTTGTTTAATTTTGTATTGAAAGGAAAACAGAGCATGATGATGAGAAAAATGTGCCACTGAATTCAAAATTCATGTTGATATATTTATTATACAACCTTCAAAGTTCTCTGAATTGCTCTGTTTTCTCTTTTCAAATCCGGTTTTTATCTGTTTTATTGGCTTGTCCTCTGTTCATGTGGTTTTAGAATTAAAGTACTGAGAATTGTTCAGTTTTTGATATGCACCTAAGAAAATCATAGTCTGTGTTAACTGATTTAATGTTTCAGACTACACGAGCATGGTGCTATATGAAATTTCTTCGATGAGTTTTTTACTCATGCCATATATTAGCAGTTTGCTAATATATGGCTCAACTTTTGAAGATACATTGTTTTTGGTATCTCAACTCTTTACGAGTGAACAATTGAATCTTGTTTCAACATAATCTGGTTGAATCTGATCTCTGAAGATTGAAACGGCCGCATTAAGAGTTAAATCGAGATGGAGGAGTATTGCTCAAACAATAATGTTATGAATTACCGGACTCAAGCCAAAAATGACATGTTCCGCTCTGTGGTTTTAGATTCATTGATTAAAGTAATCGATAATGGTTTGTAGTTGTACAATCAAATACACTCTTGGGATGTTCAAATTGCACAAGCATCACCAACATAATCAAAATTACAAGACTTATTTTATATGAGATCTTAAATTTGTCAGCACATTGATTAGCCATAAATATTTCCACAAATGATCAATTTGCTTATACCTTGCAATTGAGACTATGCATTCTCAATGAGTCTGTGACTAAATTAACTCACTCTTCCTTTTCATCTTCAGTTTCTCATGAAATGGGTACTATATAGAACATTCATTCGAGCCAAATGCGGTTCTTTGACAATTTCTATGATTAATTTATCATCATTTTGAAAACTTTTGCGAGAGATTAATCGAGACTACATGTTAACTATTGGACCCTCTTGAGTGTTGAATGGGTTTCTTTCTTCTGTTGGGCCCGAACCAACAAAATTGCTTACTATAACTCGGCCCAACACCAAAAGTATAGGAAGAGATATGAGATCTTTTTCCCACCTTATAATATAATCTTGCTACTCAATCTCAGAAGCTGATAATTTTTTTTGTAGTCCTTGCTCTTTTTAACGGCAATGGCTTTCTCACAAGCTGCTCTCTCTGCGTTGCCTCTTTCTGATCGAACTTTCCGCAAAAAGCCATCTTCTTCTTCTTCATCTTCACCGAATTTCGTTCTGAGAGTAAGAGCTGCTGCAAAAGAAGTTCACTTTAACCGTGATGGCTCTGTCACCAAGAAGCTTCAGGTTTTCTCGTTCTTCTTTCGGGCACTTTTATAGAATTTCGTTTTCTTATGATGGATAATGGTGGTGAAGGCAGGTGCAGATATGGTGGCTAAACTATTAGGCGTGACGTTAGGTCCAAAGGGACGAAACGTGGTGTTGCAGAACAAGTACGGGCCTCCTAGGATTGTCAATGACGGTGAAACTGTTCTTAAAGAGGTTTCTCACTTACGTACCTTTTATTGCGACACGCTTCTGTGATGATGCTTAAAGAAATACCAAAATCATTATCAGTTTTTATTGTGTGGTGTAGATTGAATTGGAGGACCCGTTAGAGAATGTTGGAGTGAAACTTGTGAGGCAAGCGGGTGCTAAGACTAATGACCTTGCCGGTGATGGTTCCACTACATCTATAATTCTTGCTCATGGCCTTATTACTGAAGGTATTAAGGTATACAGATTCCCATTATGACCAATTGGATAATGCATCACCATATGTGCTTTCTACTTGTGAATTAACCCATTTTTCTCATCTTCAGGTGATTTCTGCTGGAACAAATCCCATCCAAGTTGCCCGTGGTATTGAGAAAACCGCAAAAGCTCTTGTTTTAGAGCTCAAGTCAATGTCCAGAGAGGTGAATGATCCATGCCTTTTAACTCTTGAGAGTACTCATGAGAATGGACTTAATTAGCTAGCTTTAATAGTGCAAACCGCGAACCTCGTGTTTGCAGATTGAAGATCATGAGCTTGCTCATGTTGCAGCAGTTAGTGCGGGGAATGACTACGAAGTGGGAAACATGATTTCCAATGCTTTTCAACAAGTAGGAAGGACTGGTGTAGTAACAATAGAGAAAGGAAAATACCTTGTGAACAATCTCGAGATTGTGGAAGGAATGCAGTTTAGTCGTGGCTACTTATCGCCATACTTTGTCACTGATCGAAGGAAGAGGGAAGCTGAATTCCATGATTGCAAGGTCTGAACCAAAACCTCTCAGTTTTTTTGTTTCTGGTTTGCTTGGAATACCAATGGCTAAGAGAATACCTGCATTGTTTTGTTGTAGCTGCTTTTGGTAGATAAGAAAATAACAAATCCAAAAGATATGTTCAAGATATTGGATTCTGCTGTTAAAGAGGAATTTCCAGTTCTAATAGTTGCCGAAGATATTGAGCAAGACGCTCTTGCTCCTGTTATTAGGAACAAACTAAAAGGTAACCTGAAGGTGGCAGCCATCAAAGCTCCTGCTTTTGGGGAGCGCAAGAGTCACTGCTTGGATGATCTTGCAATCTTTACTGGAGGTAGTCAAGCTCCATCTTCACATATGGCATACACCAGTTTTGCTTTGAGTATAATTTTCTTATTGTTAGTCTGAATCACTGGGTTATTCTCTCTGCGTAGCCACCGTGATCAGAGATGAGATGGGCCTGAGCTTAGAAAAGGCTGGAAAGGAGGTCTTAGGAACAGCAAAAAGGGTTCTTGTTACTAAGGATTCAACACTGATTGTTACCAACGGATTCACCCAGAAAGCAGTCGACGAAAGGGTTTCGCAGATTAAAAATCTTATCGAGGTCCTTCTATCATCCATGTCTTCTCATTTTGTTAACCAAGTGACTTCTTTGTAGGCATTATAACTAGAAGAACCTAAAAGAAATTGACATTTCTACTCATCATATGTGGATGCTCCTGTTTTCATATGATCTTTATGTGTAATTCAGAACACCGAGGAGAATTTTCAGAAGAAGATCCTCAATGAAAGAGTAGCCAGATTATCTGGTGGAATTGCAATAATCCAGGTGACTTTCTAAAGCACTGATACCAAGAAACAATCTGATCATGTTGAACTAACTTCCAAAGGCCTTAGGTAGGTGCACTGACACAAGTTGAGTTGAAGGATAAACAGCTAAAGGTTGAAGATGCCCTGAATGCAACTAAGGTAACTCCAGTCAAAACATGCGATTCCCGTGGTTCAGAAATTGTCAGTCCAAGAATCCTGATCTCTGAGAATTTAGTCAGCAATTGAAGAAGGGATTGTAGTTGGTGGTGGTTGCGCCCTCTTGCGACTGGCTACAAAAGTGGACAGAATCAAAGAGACCCTTGACAACACAGAACAGAAGGTATACTTGATTTAAGTCCATGGAAGTGAAAACATCACAGAAGATGTGATCCTTTTTCTTGCAACACTATAAGCAGATTGGAGCTGAAATCTTCAAGAAAGCATTGAGCTACCCCATAAGACTTATAGCCAAAAACGCAGACACAAATGGCAATATCGTCATAGAAAAGGTATCTCACAATGTTAGCTCTCTAGAACCAGCCTTAACTTCCACTAAACTAACTTCTGAAATCTGCAGGTCTTATCGAACAAAAACACCATGTACGGTTACAATGCTGCAAAGAATCAATATGAAGATCTGATGTTGGCTGGTATAATTGATCCAACCAAGGTAAAACCACATGACTAATGTATTGAGCTCTCTTCGATCTATGTTTCTGCATCTCATTGTCTGGGAAACTGAAACACAGGTTGTGAGATGTTGCTTGGAACACGCTTCATCAGTGGCTCAAACGTTTCTGACATCGGATTGCGTTGTAGTTGAGATCAAAGAAATCAAACCAAGACCAATCATTAATCCACCATTACCTACTTCTTCTCCAGCTACCTCCTCCATGTTCCCTGACAGAAAATTACCAAGATTTCCTCAAATTATGCCAAGAACTCGAAGCCACTTTCCACGGAAGTAGGAAACTGTCTTACTTTAGAAAATACTACATAACATGAGAAGTCACATTTTAATGTTATCTCCAAACATTACTCAACGTGTATATATATCTCTGTATGTATGTATACACGAGGGTCTCTGAAATTGCGCTAAATGTCATAAGCTCTGGTCATCTCATAAACGTGTCAATGCGTGGCTTCACTTCTTCTTCGAATCATTTGTAAATTATCCCCAAAACACTAAATCTTACCATAGCTGAGAAACAACGAAGAGATCGAAGAAAGCTAAGATGGTGCTGATGACGCTAATGGATCTGATCGTCGCCGGAATCTCTCTGATGGTCGGATTAGGGTTCTTCGCTCTCATCGCTTCCATCCTCTGCTCCGTCGCCTTCTTCCACCATGCCAAAGCAGCTTCTTCTTGACCATCAAAATCAAGTAATTGAAATTCCCTCATAAGCAAATCTTCAATCAACACAACAATTGTTTCAAAATTCTAACTTTTAAAACTCTCTGCAGAACCAAAACAGAGAATTGAACATGGAAGGAAGACGAAGAAGTGCTTCTCATTACTCTCTTAGCTTGTACAAGAAAGTGTAGTTAAAGAGACATTGTAATCTGTGCATTTACGAAATTAAAATTTATAAAGTTTCAAACTTTTTATTTCTTGTTTCTCTGTTTGCGTATAAAAACCATTCCTTTGATCCCATCCGGGTCAGAGACGAACCCAAGCGGGCGATAAAACCCGAGAACTCGAGGCTCTGAATACAGAGCAATGTTACAAATCCCTTTCACCTGTAAATCCTCAATCAACCGCTCCATCACCGCCTTCCCAAGTCCACAGCTTTGAAACGATGGATCAACCACAACATCCCATATGATCGCATTGAAAACTCCGTCACCGGTTGCTCTCGCAAACGCTACAGGCCTCCGCGTTTTCTCGTACTCTACCCAAAGCAACGCGTCTGTGTGCTGCAACGCCACCTCGATTTTCGCCGTGTCACGACGAGGGAATCCCACGGCTGCAAAGACTGAATTCAGCTGGTCTAAGTTAAGTCCTTCTGTTGTTCGACGGAGAAGAAAGCCTCTGGATTCGAGATCTTCGTCGCT